AAGGAGAGGGTCCTTACTGGTCAATGATGCAGTCTACTAACAGAATATCTTACTTTGCGTGACCTCATGGATAAGCTATGTTCAACTGTGTTCAGTCTAAGTCTAGGATCCGAGGGGCTCCACAAGGACTCAGAGATTGATTTATAGACATTTTTGGGGTCTCAACAAGTTCACTTTAAAGAAAGAAAAGCCTCTTATTTAATAAAAAAGCAATTAAGAAATGACAAAAGTACAGTGGAAGTTATTGTATTTAGATGTTGCTTAAGATAGACTATGCAATCTAAGCCTCTCATTAGGAGGAGTGGTTTAATGTGCTCCCTTTACCTTCTGCACTAATATCAACTGCTCATAAATGTGAATAAGCTGTTACCTTGTGTACCTGTGAACTGAAGAACAGATAGAGCATCTTGTCCTTATGTGAGGCCAGCTGCTGCTTATTACTAAATGTAATAGACTTTGCAGAGTGTGCAATCATCTGTATAGCATTTAGTATGCTTTGCAGAACTTAGGAAGTACCTAAAAAAAGATTAAAAAAAGCACAAGTATGTTTGTAAAAGAAAAATAAATTGTAAGCAACTTTGTCTGCTAATGCTTAACATTTCTTAGTAGACTGCTTTTTATGCCACTTTATCTTGGTATGATTTAGATGAAATTAAAAGAATCAAAGGGTACAAAAAGTCTATTTACCCTGGGTACACCAATAGAGGAAGCCACCTTTAGGCCCCATTCACACCTAGGCGTATTGTAATATGCGCGTCTGTCGCGCGACCGTCACGTGGTAAAAAAAAGTCGCGCGACCGCCGCGCGATTCCAAAGGCTACTTGGCAGTATCCAAATGGAAAACGCCCTACAAAACGGCCCAAAGTAGTCCCGGGACCTTTTCAGGCGTGGGCCGTTTTGTAGGGCGTTAGGGACGGGCGGAAATACGGCGAGATGGGAACGAGGGCATTGACTACAATGCAATTTATATTTTTGACCGTTTTGTAGAGCATTCGTCGAGCGTAGAACGCCCTACAAAACGGTCAGGTCTGAACGCAGCCTAACAAGAAAGCAATCGTAGCAGATATGCCGGTGTTGGCTGCAATGTTGATGAAGGCATATTCCATTGTTGGGTGGAGAGTAAAGCAAGTGTGGCTTTAGACATGCTAGAAACATGGCAGCTTGTATATTTGCTTGTTTCCAAAATTACGAGGGTATTAATAAAAAGGCAGATAACTGCTGGGTAGCCATGCTGTTAAACACTTGCCATCAAGCCTAGATGTGAAGATTTAAACCCTTCAGAAAGGTATACTTTTTTATCAGGTTATGTCCTGATTAATTTGCAGGAACCGTTGTGCCGAACAGAAAGAAATACTTCTAGAAATGAAGCCTCTTTGCTCTTCTTTGTTTCATTCCTTTGGTTCCTCTGACAGGTTTCACGAGATTAGCAGCTCTGCCAGTCTCTTCAACTGATATGATGCAATTTTGTTTCAGGCACAGTGTTGAGCTATCTCACAACAGATAAATAGTTTGACAACAAAGGTGGGTAACTCACAGGTGGTACTTCAACATACACGTCTTACAAATGAACATATTAAAAAATAGGAGACTAGCTACTTTGCAGCTTAGCTGTGACTGGGCATTTGTTTGGGAGGAAGTTTGGCACAGATAAAATATTGTGGCAATTCACAAACTGATTACACTGGAACACTGGAATTTTACAGCACAACACATTTAGCTACTCGCACAGGTCATCAGCCAAGGGATTCTCCTGTGCACTTGGACTTTGACACCTCTGGGCAGCTAATTATTCTGTTGTGCCCAACCCTGCACAGCACTTGTACATTATGCTGACCACTGAAAGAGGGGCCAATCTAATAGAGCAGGCACACTCGCCAGATGCCTTTTCCCAGTGAAATTACTGTAGAAAACTTGAAAATTAGTTTATGATGAGCTGGAGAAGTTGCTTGGAAAAGCAGAGAAACATCTTCAATGTTACATAGCAAGTCCAGTTGAATGTGACTAATTAGTAGCTATTGTAGCAGCTATTGTTTAGAAACATTAGAAACTGACTTCCCTCATAGCTCCCTATTACATTAATACAAGTGAGTTCCCTATCCTTTTCCTTGTACTTCTTTTTGATGTTGTTGTTTTAGATACTACTTAAGTCTTGCAAAATCAAACTACAGCATAGGTGTAACACTTAATATATGTTCCTCATCTTTTTCTACTTACTCCTGAGTGACATTTCCCTCATGGGTCACATACAGCAACATGATAAGTTTAAAGTTTAAATCTGGGCACCTCTTAAGAAGGCCTCAGTAGGTTATAAATATCAGCTGCCAATCACAGGACTAAAAGGTGTGCTCTATGTTTATTTTTATTTTTTCTTTGGTGCATAATGTAAATGTTATTAGCTTTCTGCTGTTGATAGCACTGTCAGTGGGCGGGTGTTCTGCTTCGATAGAGGCAAATTACTTGTTTACTAGCCCAATGGGTGGGGCATTTGTACAGGTCTTCTATGTAAATATGGCATTATGTAATTCCATTATTCTTTTGGAAGACTTGATTTGCATGCATAAAACTGCACGTATAGTACTTTGTCTTTATGATCCCTAAATAGTGGATAATATCTAAAACCAAAACCTTAATCTGCACAGATATCACACCCACCAAAAAATAGAAATGCCCCAAAACACATCCTTTTTTTTTTTGCATAGCAAATAATATAGTAATTAGTGTGTTGCTGATAGTGGGTGGTTACTTGACAATAAAAAAAAAGTTAAAAAGGATTGCTACATTTCAAAACACATAACTTTTGAAGTACAGGGCAGGTAGAAATGTATGTTTCACTTGCTTAAAGCTTTACAGACCCGTTTACAACCTAAAGAGTCATAGAGGTTGATTTACAAAAGACAAATAGGCTGTTTGCTCTGAAAGGGAATTTTGCACTTTGCAGGGGAAGTTTTCCTCACTTGGTAATTGTGGTGAGATTTCAAAGAATACCCAATCATGTGAAAAATAAAATATAAAAACACAGTATTTTAACTTGCATATTATTGGATGACAAAAGTCAGCAGAGCTTCACCTCATTAAGTAAACCAAGGGGAAACTTCATTTGCAAAGTGCAAATTCCCATGCAAAGTGAACAGCCATTAGTAAATCAACCCCATAATATCACAGTAGCCAAATCATTCTAAGGCCCCTTTCACATGGATGTGAGGGATCCATCTTGTGATGGAGTTAAAAACTAAAATTACTGGACCCATGTTGGTCTATGGGGAGTCGGATGTAAAAGGATATGTGCCTGTTTTTACCAGATTACCCCTCATCCGCCACGATCAGGTCCACCAAAACAGAACTCTGTTCCCGCTTGTTTTTTTGTACCTGGCCAGGGTCACGGGTACTCGCATGTAATCAGACGCTAATAGACTTGCTCTAGGATTCTGATCAGATCTATCTAAAAAACTGACAGACGTACCTGTTTGGAATGCCCATGTAAAAGGGGCCTAAATCACAAAAAAAGAGTCAGAAAAACTTTGTTACAGCCTGCACTGCTATTACATTTACAATAACAAATGCTGCTGTTGGTCGATTGAAAAAAAAAAAAAAGAGATGTCTGAAGAAGATGATAACAAGAAGAAAGCAACATCAACATCACTGTAGGATCTGGCCAGAGCTGCAGCAGTAAGCTGATTGAGGATGATTAGGATTCAGAAGAAAAAGGGGATTAAAAAGTCATGGGGAAGCCCTCTACAGCAGTGCTGATAATGTGAGCTCTGAGAATGTGGACCAGTAAAAAGAGCAAGCTATTTGTCCAGATGAGAAGGCTTAGGGAAACCCTAAGATGTATTTGGCTTGATGTACAGGCGTTGGCACACACAAGCTTCTGCAGTGCATTTACATAAAGGTTTAAGTCTTCTGAAACAACTGTTCTTATTGGCTGTGGGACAAAGTAGAAAAAGCACAGGTAAGCCTAGGAATCATGGAACACATTATGGGCAAACCTGTTGGATGTCATAGCAACATCAAAATTGCACTGACCTTTTGCTGCAAAATACCATGCCCCAATAGCCACCAGTATTGCTTGGAGTCAAACCCCCCCCCCCCCATGGCTGATCTTTCCCCATTACTGACTTACAATGCCTTCTTCTGCATAATGCACTTCTTCTGTGTCTGCGTGCGGAGGTGACCATCTTGGTAGAGGAGCAGGGCTTTTTTTCCTGTCAGAGCATCTCCTGATGACTGATAGTTGAATAATAAGGAATAATAAGGAAGCAGAAGGGAGAGAAAGCACATATTCACAGAATAAATGAAGTAGAAGCACAGAGATCTGCTTCCTTTTCAGCAAGAACAGTGAGTAGCACGGAAGTGACATCACCAAATCATGCCTCCAAATCTTGTACAACTAGCAGCCAGGAGGTGTGTTAGATCTCACTATAGCAGATATACTGCTATGAGGCTGCAGGAACAGGAAGTACACTCATTTGTACAAGGAATTCAAGAAAAGGTAGATTTTCCGGGGTACTACTTAGGTACAATTAACATTTCTAGGTGTTCCTTATTAAATGGTTAATCTACACAAGGACCATCCCTACCCTATATGCTGCCTGAGGCACTAGAGTGGGGGAGGCCAGCTCAGTGATATCACCAGTTGTCAGGAACTCGGCAGGATGCCAGCCAGAGTGTCCCGCTCAGCATTCTGGTAAATGATGACGTCAGTGAGCGGGGTGGGAAGCCAGATAGAGTGTAACAGGTTGCTAAGAACTCCTAGTAACCTGGGATACCATGTAAGCCCCTCTGCCACCCCCCACACCTGCTGCCCCCTAATGAGATGCTGCCTGAGGTGACTGCCTCAGGCTTCTTCATTATAGGGATGGCCTTGATCTTCACTTATTGATTTCAAGCCCGTGGTTTTCAACATTGTTCAATATAGTAATGGCGAAATCACACTGATAAAACATGCAGTTGGTAATGAATAAAAAGAAAACAAATATTAATGAAACATGTTTTTATTTCAGATATTTGCAAATATACTGCTTCCTTAACTATCGGTTTATCTGATCCAGAAGAATCTCTTGCAGACTTACGACTTTCATTGTTAGATCATGCATACGATCGAAATGTCGACTATCATGAAGAAAAAAGTACAACATGGGATGATAACGGGGTAATGCACTCACAAAGGAAAGTAAAAGAATTCCTAGCTCTTTCTACAGAAGGTATTATGACATTCTATAGTCAGTGTGTAGGATCAATCTTATTTTATTTAAGTATTTCACAATGTAACAACAAGATAGTAATATACATGTTCTAAAAGTACAAATTATAAATCTAATATCGTCCTTTAATCATTTTCATGTGATATTAATTTAATAGAGCACAAAGTTCCAATCTGTATGCCATGACACTCCTATATCTCATAATAACAGAAGTGATGCGTCACCTCCTTGCTGCCTTGACCCACCTGCAGTGGACAAATCTTCATTGACACTGGAAATAAAAAATGCAGTAATTATTACATGATATGCTATTGATATGCTATATTGATCTTGTAAACAGTCCCTGTGTATATTTGAAATCAACATACGTTTTTTGAATTGATGAATTATCTTACATATTTTTGGGGGACCTTGTATAAAATCCTAATTTATAACAATTACGCTAATATGTAACCTTTCTGTGATGTTACTAAGTTGATTCACCTTGCTCATGGTCAACTTTTTCACTAGGCCTTCTCCATCCCACGACACCTGAACTCCAGGATGCAGTTGCTACTCAAGATAGATATTCATACAAAGAGGAAAATGATCATCAGCATTCCTCCACAATAGTAAGTTCCATGCATGAAACAACACCATTTACAGGATGCAGTACCTTGATTTATGATTACAGTATACTCAACAGTAATTACTTTTACAAGAGAGAATCACGTTTTCTAGGGAATTATTTTCCCACTATGTATACAGTATATAATACTCATTTGTTTATAATAATTAACCATTGTCTTCTTTCTGCTCCATACTAAAAGCTGCATTCAGACAGGTCTCAGTGACCATCAGCAGGTGCTTGAAAATAGATGTCATGGTAAAGCTTTGTTTGTTACCACATTCCTGTTGTTGTTACTTCATTCCTATGAATCCTATCTCTTTCCTTGGAAACAAACAGCAGTAATGTGATTTTTAAAAACACATTTTTAAGTGGCAAAAGCAATTGTTTTAATCACAATATCATAATATATGCAATTTGAATACAAAATAGTATTAGGAAATTCAAATTTAATACCAGATGATGATTGCATCTGTTCACTCAATGCATACATGGCCTTAGAAGCTTTTCCTATAAGAAAACAGTGTTAAACATTGCTGAAATCAGAGCAGTAGCTTGTAGCCTGAGCAGAGTGCTGAAAGAATATGTATCCCACTGTCAGTAAACTAACAAATATTATTAAACATGGTATGAGCTGCCACACATTGCAATTATATCTAAATTGCTACAGTCGGCAGAAGGTGCAGTTTAAAATAAAATGAGATTTAAAAGTCATCTAAGCCCAATAACAAAAATGAAATACTGTATACCACAGTGTATTATTCTTTAGATGTTGTGGCTGTATTTTACTTTGTTTAGCTTTTTTTCCCTTTATTTTCATCTCGTGATCCTGCCAGCAACACATTCCCTGTACTTCGGTGACAATGCTTACTCAGAGCAATGTTTCTATGAAAGAGCAGAGTTGTCAACCTCACGCAGGACAAAACACCAACCCCTCTCTTCATCTCTATTACAAAAGTTGGTTGTAGTTCATGAAAGAGAACTGGGCAGGACTAATAATTCTGTTTGATAATATACTTCATAGGTCACATGACATTACTGGAATATTAGCAGGAAAAACAAGGTTTTTTTTTCTGCTTATTGAACAGATGCAACAAAATTATTTTAATGGTATATTTGCATTTTGACACTTCTGTCTAAGATGATAATATCACTGCAATGACAACTCAATTTGTTTTAAACATGGTCCCTTCTAATTCTGGTCACATGGTATTCATATTTTAATGTGATGGTGTTATTGTAAGATAAAAATAATAATAATACTATTGTAAGATGCTGATGTAAGAAGTAATGGTGTCTAAAGGGAAACTGTCATAATGTGTGAATGTGAGGGTCTATCATTATTTAAGATGATGGCAAGCTCAAGGCCATGTTTTTTCTATGTTTAAAAACCTGTGACCATGATGACTAACGCAAAATGATTGGCTTGTCTTGTCAATAAAAGGCGAAACAGGCTTTTATTGGCTTTTTAGATCGCATTGGACTGTCACAGAAATTCCCCTAGCTGCTCTCAGAGCTGTGCTTGGTGTTATCATATGGGCTAGTGAATAATTATTAACAGGTCTCTCTGGAGGTCTCTCTACAGGGATGCCAGTATGAATAACTGAGGTTACCAGATGGCTTCAGGTCAGAAGGGACAGATGAGTGAATTTTCATTAACTCACAGTTTATTGGATTATGTAATGCAATTACCCATAAAGGTGCCTTTACTATTAGTTATGGTGGTTATTGACCTATACATCATTCTAATGATACACACAGTGGACTTTCAGGAAGTGCTTGTATATATATGATAAATTGGGCTTGCATTGTAATAGAGTGCTTGTAATTTGCATATAACATATACATACATTGCATACATTCATAAAAAAAATTACAGGTACATTATTACATACAATAAATCAGTACATTAATGAACATATATCAATTATCTATCTATCTATCTATCTATCTATCTATCTATCTATCTATCTATCTATCTATCTATCTATCTATTTATCTAATATCACATTTGATCGAGGACATAGGTTTAAAAAATAGTCATTTGGCTGCACACTTTAAAAGTGTCTATGGCCAGGGACACCCCATCCGACTGGCCTCTTGTAAGCAGGCAGCTCTGATGTCACTACCTCAGCATTGCCTTTAGTATGAGGCCTTAACTAGAGACAAAGATAGACTTGTCTCCACCACACTCGGGTCCACAGTTTGGTGGATCAGTGGAGTGGAAATGCTGCATTTATATTGCCCAGTACACTATCAAGAGCCAGCCCACTGACTGTCTTCATACAGTGGGTCCTTGGGAGCAAATCTTGTGCAGTAGAACTACAACATGCTAATGAAATGTTTACATAAAACCTTTCCATTTGGGAGGGAGCTTGGCATATACAATTTTTAGTGTCTGGAGTTCAGGATTAAACGGTTCAGACTCCTGCAGCATTAGGAGAAAAGGATATGCTTTTCGCCCTTTGCCTTTTTGACACTGAAATGTGTCCCTGTCATGGAAAGGTCAAGCACTGGACAGCCATGCAATGGAAAGGTTTTAACAAAACACTTCAGTGTTAGTACTTTTTCCCAGCCCACCATTTATAGCATGACATTTTATCCAGCCCACTTTCCCTTCCAGTAGTAAAAAGCATGTGTTGTTTTGTCTCATGTACATGCAGTGGGTGTAGACAAACAAATAAAAAAGTAAACCAGCGACTAGACTTCCACATGCTTCATTTCCTGTGACATTCCCAGCTTTCCTCCACAGAATTTAAATCTATTCCCCTCGCCTTTTTAAAATCAAGTAAAATAACATGTAAAAGAAAAGCAGAAATTTGTTTTTTTTATACAATTGCATCTGGGTGTTTTTTTATTTAATATTAATAATACCTTTAATACATATAATAAAGGATGAGGTTCAGGTTCGCTGCTACCATGGGTTTTAAGTTGAATCCTGCAGGTTCGGGAATTTGTGGGTTTTGGATAATTTTTTCATTTTTGGGCAGATTAGCCCAGAATCATTTTTTAATAAGGGGGCTTTTGGATAAGCTAGCTCCCTCACTATAAAAGGGGGGGGGAGGTTACATGGCATTAATAGAGTCAGTGAATTGGAAGCTGCTGTAGGATAGTAAAGCTGACAAACTAAATAGGGAGAGATTAGGGTCAGTTAGCAAACTGTAGTGCTGATTTCTAGATCTTTGGACAATTAACTTCTTTCATGGTTTTTTTTGTTATTTCTTATTATGGGGGATTTGGAGGTCAGCGGCTACTTTTAGCTGCTGTCCCATCAATAGCAAACATTTCTTGCTGCAAGACTTCCCTTAAAAATGGGTTTGGGTTTTTCATTTATTTTGAGGCTTTATTTATTATTTATGTTGATAGGGCCTTTATTTTAGGAGCTGCCTTCTATTTGCAGCATGCTGCTCTTTCGTTAAAGGATTTTCAATGTTGCCCTGTTACACTGTGGTCTACTATGACTTCCTGGACATATTTGACCATTTAAAAGCAGTAATGCATCTGCTACTTTTCAGCACTTCATTAGTGATACTTTTAGACACTTTCTACACCTGTTTGTCATTGTATACCTAGATGACATCCTGTCAAAAAGTTTCCCAGTCAATTTAGACAAATGTGAAAAATCTGAAAAATTTGAATTTAAGCATCAAAGTATTCAATTCTTGAGATACAATTTTTAGTGAGCGTATTGAGATGGTTCCCCGAAGGTCACAGTGGCCAGGCCCAAATGATAACAATAAAAACACAAAACGCACAGCTCTTCCTCTTATGTATCCTTGTAATCCACATTCTTCTATTTCAAAGTTTCTATTCGGGTTTTTCACAAACGTGGGTCCGTATACATAGCTACGGGACCATGCATTATACATATCAGTGAGTATACAGGTGATCAACATATGTAACTGATAATATTATACTTGGTCCTGTATTACATTGTAGGTGAGGAGACTATATTGAGCAACCTATCTGAGTCAGGTTGGAGCAACCTTAACACAAAATTACTAACGTCTGCTCAGTTCAGAAATACAACATTCCATATTAGTATGTGTTGAAAAACATGATAACAAGTAATCCACATTGTTTGCACGGATAACCCTCTTCTGACGTAATTGTCTCAAAAACTGCAAAATCAGCACACAATGTTCTTCCAATAGAAAATCCAATTTTATTCCACATGCATCTGTACAAAAGCAACATCTGACACGTTTCTGACTTACTCAGCCTTAGTCATAGCTATGGCTGAGGCAGAAATTAATCAACAGTTGTTTTTTGACCAAATGAGGGTTCGGCAGTTTGTGGGATTTGTGAACGTGTAAAAATGTACTAAAGGGTTGTGTGCAATCATCACTCCCATTATACAGCTTACCAAACAGAACAACCATTTTTACTGGACTTCTGAAATCCAGTCAGCTTTTTTTTTTAAACAAACTTTATTCTGTTTTCTCGGCCCTACCCCAAGGGGTTCGGCCTTTTCTTCCACAGCATAAAATGTACACAGTATGAGGCTATTTACAGTAACCCCAACAATTGTACCAGAAATATCAAACTTAAACATTTCAACATTCCCATTGTTCCCAAGCTGGTTGCCACTCTTGCATTAGTTATTGTATGCTATTAGAACATGCCAGTTACTACTCTTTTTTTTTTGTTTTGTTTCATACACTATGCTATTGTCTAGCCGTAAACTATCACTAAAGCCTCAGTTCGCGTCAGGGCACTTCCAGGACCCCCAAGCTCCCTGTCAGTTTTGCCTTGAGATACCAGTTTGAGTACTTGAAGGGTTGCATTATTGTCGCTAATTCTGTTTCATCATACGATGCTTCCAAGAAGTATTTCCATCATTTGAAGAACTTAGCAGTGAGTGCATCAACATGCATTTCAGTTTCAAGTTTCTCCCTCAGGAACAAGATCCTCAATTCCGTGATGATGCTGGAGATTGGCGGGGGGGAGGATTTATTCCATGCTCTCATTATGCATCTTCGTGCCGCCAATAGGCAAAGATGCATCCAATCCTTGCCCCTTTGGGTTGAACAGTGAGGGTCTACTGCGGAATACTCAGGTGCGCTGAACAGATACAGCAGAGGATTCTGTATCGGTGTCCACCGTAAGACTGTAGTTCTGTATGTAGTAACGTCTGTCCAGTACTGTCCCATTGACGGGCAGTCGGGCACGTCCATAGGCAATGAGCCAACGTGGGGCGGGAGAGACCGCTTTTAGGGCACACTGATATGAGTCGTTGCTCCCCTGCTCCCACCGGAAGAAAGTATGCCACATAGGCCCGGTACATTATTTTAAACTGGGTCTCCCTCCAAGTTTCATTAGTGACCAGTTTGCGTATTAAGTTGTAGCCCTCCACGATGTGCTCCACTAGATCCGGGGTGGGAAAGTCCTTAGCCCATTCTTTGATATTGGATGATGATAAATTAGCAACGTAAGTTAGCTATCAGTTGCATCAGGGGGTTTGTGCCAAATATGTAATCTAAGCGGGCGAAGCAGTCATGTACTCTGGAGAAATGAGTAAAATCAGATTCCAGGGGATGCATTATCCTCCAAAAATCATGCAATCCCAGTGCAGAAGCCAGTTCTGCCAGTGGGGATTGTGAGCCAGAGCGCGTGGGTTGCGAAGTATGGGGGGCACTAGGCGTTCTCTTTCAGTCCTCCAGGGTATTCATAGTGCAATTAAAGTCCCCCCCTACCAGGTGGTGCAGGTTGGCAGTTTTTGCTAGCCAGGAGATCACCTGTTGGAAATGAGATTGGGTTGGCGAATTGTGCATATATATATTAGATATTGCCAATTCCACATCAAAGTATTTTAGATATAATGTTAGCATCCGTCCCTCATCATCCCTTTCCACCCTGACCACCTGATATGGGAGTCTCCTATGCAGTAGAATCACTACTCCCAACAATTTTTTCATAAATCCCCTCATCTGCGATCACTTCTTGCAGTGACATGGTGGCAGGGGTCTGCTGTGGTGAGGGAACGCTGGCGTCCGCCATCTTGTCCCCACATGTTGCCCTCGTTTCACCGCTGGATCGCGGCACCGAAAGCGAGCGGGTCCTCGCCCCCGCTAAAAAACGGCAGCCCCCTCCGCTCGGTTAGCGTCTCGGGCGGTGCGGGCGGGCAGTATCGCCGGTTTTAAATAACGTTTATGGCCGCGGCTGCAGGAGCGCTCTCTCTCTGCAGCCGATCACATGGGCGCTGGAACCGGAAGTCTCCAGTCAGCTTTTGATCAGCTTAAAATCCTTTTTCTAGCATGACCTATTTTGGAGTTATCCAGATCCAGCTCTGCCATATATTCTTGAGGTGGATGACATCAAAAACACTGTTGGATCAGTCCTGTCAAAACATCACAGCAAACATACCTCGGCAAAGAGAAACTATGGTAGATTAGGAGCTGGATGAGCTCCTAATGAGCTCATCAAGCTCCTGATGTAATGAGCAAGTCGTCACTAGAGTAGTGGAGGTGTCTTCTGGAAGGAGCAGCTCAGCATCCCGCAGACCAGAAAGGCACTTGTGCCGCTCCATGCCACTTGTCCACTCTATCAGGGGCCCAAGGCTGCAGGTGTAAGAGAGGCCATACTCATCTCTTCAGGCTCCTCTGTGAAGTACATGACATGCTGTCTGTGTTCCTCTTAGGTAGATTCACTCTCTGTAATTGATCACCAATGTTACCAGGAATGAAAGTGAGGTTAGATCCAAAATTTTGAGTTGTCACTAGACCGGAGGAAATCTTCCATTGAGGACACTTGTCCCTAAGACAACTATCTAAGAGGAAATTCCAAGTACATTGGAACAATATCCCCTCACTTCCTGTTGAGTCCCAGTGGAGGATGTACAGGGAAATCTCCCTAATGAGACAGAAATGGCAAAAAAAAACTATCAGCAGGTTTAATCTCCTCCTACTTTATATAAAATAGAAAGTTTAGATGCACTTTAATCATAAATACAGAATGACTGTCACAAGGGAGTAGAAAGATTGTACTTAAATTGTAAATTTGTTTATTTGCAGTAAATATTGTCATTAATTTATTTCACAGCAGTTCTTTTACTTCCTGTAGTTTACAGGTGTTGAAGAAAATCATCATAAAATCCGAGAACATCTGCATCATCCACCTAAAGCTCACACAAATTACAGCCATACAATGGACTCTTCGGTCTGCTCAGAATCTTGTTCATCAAATATTGATAAAGGTACCTCTTCTGAAAATTATATTCAGTAAATATAATATTTCACTTTTTATATTAGTTTTTCTAGCATATATATTTGGATTATTTTCATATCCCACAAATATATGTAGATGCTGCAGCTATGGCTGCAGCTATGGATATGAATATTAGCATTGTTGTCAACATTGAATACAGTTTGTACACATTCTCTACTGAAAAAGATATTGACTAGGAAACCATGACTTACTGATCACTATTACACAAAACATTATATATCTGTTACTTTAAATGAAAGTGTATTACAAATCACACAAAGGCCAAATACTGAGCATAGCTAAGTTACAAAAGGTCTCATAGATCCCTGAGTCCTCTCGTTAGTACTCCTAATAACGAGAGGACTCAGGGATCTATACACACACACACACACACACACACAATAGGTTGGACTTGATGGACATGTGTCTTTATTCAACCTCAAATACTATGTAACTATGTAACTATGTCTAAAAACAAAATGATCATATTGCCTTTAGCAATCAAATGCTTTTATTTTTAAAATGAATAAGAAGGAAGAATCTCTTTGGCTATTATATTCATCGTTAACACAGGCAATTCTTCTAAGTGAAACTTTATTAAATGATGGCCACTGGGTCATATAACACAACTGGGACAGTTATAACGAAAGTCCACCTAACAAAATTAGTCCAGAGAAACCAGAATGATAAAAATAGAGTTTTACACATTCTAGATTCTAGTCTAAAGTTGAGCTGCTCATGTGCATTGGGTGGTGGTACATTCAAAACTAAAATGTTGATCATTTTTCAATAATTGCATAAATATGCATACTTACAGAAAAGTGTATGCATGTATGCAGAGTGCAAATATCCCAGCTTGCCTTTGCTTGAGGAAACAATGGTGAATAGCTTGAAAATTCCAACCTGGCTAATTGGCATTTCCCATAATATTGTTTGGCACTGGGTGTCTACATAAGTGAGAATGAGCCCAAAGATGTAATTCAATACAATAGAAACTGTGACAGCTATTTTATGTCTATTGGCACCTCTAATATAGTGCACAAAAAATACTACTACTCTACAATCCTTTAAAAGTGGATAGTAAAGCTGGTTATATTTTGTTCTGCCCTGGTATGCATAGGTTATAAATATTGTTTAATACACCCTCTCTTGAGCATGGTTCTTTGGAACACTAGGGTTTCTCCAGAGGCCGCTACACATTCCATGAGAAGTAAGCAGCAGTGGTTTGATCTCCCACCTGACATTGCTATTATTAGTTAAATTTCATGATCATTGCTGAAAATAATTTTATCATACTGGAACTTTTTACCCCAACCTGTCCGTTTGTCTCCCACTCTGACTGCCTTTAGGCGATCCCTTAAGCATCATCTCTTCAGGGAAGCCTATCCCACCTCAACCTAACCTCTCAACCATCACATTCTCAGACAATTCACCCCCACACACCTACCTCCTCATGTATCACTTCCCCCTCCCTTTTAGTTTGTAAGCCATCATGGGCAGAGCTCTCCTTACCATCTTGTCTTGAATTGTATTGTAATTGTAATGTCTACCTTATATTGTAAAGCGTTGCGCAAACTGTTGGTGCTATATAAATCCTGTATAATAATAATAATAGTAATACTGAGCGTGGGGAGTGTAAAAAAGATCCACTCTGGATTTCAAGTACCCCAAGTATGCCACATTCTTTATTCTTTTAATTGAAAATTGTAATGTTTTAATGAAAATTATTTCTAGGGTTCTTCTGCGGTGAAAAGGTTGAGAAAGGCTGGTTTAATACATTGAAGGATATACTATGCCGCTTTGTCTTTTATAAGTTACACAATTCATTTACATGAAGCAACTGAAATATTTTAGAACTGCAGCTCTGCTGAGAAAATAATATCAAACTGTGCTGCTTGTTGCCTCCTTATTCTTATATTTGTTTGCGGAGAAGAGAAAATGTATGAAGAATTTATATTTCTGTTTTTAATTATGGTCTATAAGTCTACATGTAGAAGTAGAAAGCGGGAGCTTGCTAGTCACAAAATGATTTCCCATTCTTTGACATAAGATTTTTCCTCATAGCACACCTGATTCAAAATATCATAAAGTAAGTTTTATTAGGTAATTTGTATTATCATAAAAATAAACTGGTAATAGTTTCTGCTCTGGGTTGTTATCTTTTGCCTTTAGAAGTGAAAGAAAACCATATGCAGTTATAGGAGCTCTTACACAGTGCCTTTTATTCAGAAGGTTCAGAAATATGAAATCACTGGTTAATTACTGATGCTCAAATAATGATTGCTAAGACCACCTACTAAGCCATAATCTATAGGAATAATGTAATTCAATAGTAATATCATGTATCATCTGAAGTCCTGTTATACTGAACAATGGGCGCATACCCTTCTCCCTCAAGGTGCTTTCAAGTTTCTAATCCTCCATAAAAAACGAACAAATTCTGGCTGTTTCTCTGCTCTTCTTTTCTGAAAAAGAAAGTCCTGGAGCAAAAGCCAAAAGAATAGGCGAAAGGACGGCATGACAGGGGGGGGCAGGCAATCAGGTAGATAAAGGGTTAAGTTAGTCTAAGAGAGTGTGTTAGGAGGGTCACTTACCATGATTGGCTGGGTCAAGTTGTCCAGGAGGAGCATCCAGGGTGGTTAGAGCAGGGGGAGGGGTGGTCCAGGCAGTTGGGAGCCAGCACACGGTTAGTACACTTCCCGCCCTCCCTCCCGTAGTTTTTTTTGTTTTCTGCATGTTATTTCTTTTGTTTTGCTTGTCTTTCAGATGCTGGTTCTCGGTGGCGTTGCTCAGGTCTGCGCATGGCGGGCTACGGTGGGGTGACCCTGTTGGATGCGTCCGTGGTGCGCGGTCCTGCTGTTCTCCAGCGGGTTCAGCAGAGAGAGAGAGAGGTCAGAAATAGGTGTAGGAGGTCTCTGCTTTTACTTCCCATGTTGTCCCTGAGTCGGTGGGTTGCGGCTAGGGGCCAGTGGTTTTAAGGGGGTAAGCAGAGATCTTTTGTGGTTGAGTAAGTGGTGCCTGCGCAGACCTCACACCAAATAATAGTTTACAGATACATTGTTGTTTATGGTCATAATTAATGTTTTAATGGCTGCTACAGCCATTTTATATCCAATCTGGTGTGGTCTATTATTGTAATGTGGGCATTGGTCATGGATGGGTTAGGGGCTGTAGCCAGCAGTGGGTGGCTGGGCAATGGACAGCTGTGCCTTACCCTGTCATGTAGTAAAAGTGAAAGCACAACAAACGTGGTTTGTCTTTAGGTGCAGAACCACCTAGATACACAGGCCCAGAGAGTGAATAAAGGTGAGAAATCACTGTTCTGCCTCATTCCTTTAAGCTTGAGCTATTGAAATCTGTAAAGATCAGAGAAAACTGTGTCTTCTGATCAGTTTATAGAGCACAGCCCAGATCTGAATGATGAGCTATCACCATCTGTTTACAACACGTGCATATTCTCAACCCAGACCAGATGGTCACAGCAAATTATGATTCTCAGCCTTAAGTATCTGCTGCTGAAATGTGAGTTTCAGTTCTTTCTTCTATTTAGTAAGAGAGAGTTTGTAACGTTTTTTACTTTTTTGCTGGAGGATACAGAGATGATTTGAGGATCTACAGCTGAGTGATAAACAAATAATATACATTTTTGGGTATTTGAATGCATTTTTAAGTTTTAACTCCTAAGTTTAGTGTCACTTTAATAAAATGTAATTAAATAAAGTTCTAAAAAAAAAAGTAAACAGTGCAATGTGCTAGCACTTCTACATTTAGTGTCACTTTAATTTTCATGGGCACAGCATGGTGCAAAGTGGTTGTATTGTGCCACATCCCACTGTGCTAAAAAAAATGTACTGCAAGCAGTCTCTTTTTTTTTGGGCACACCACCGCTACACAGTGGTGTGAACTGTGCCAATCGGTGACAAAGCGAATTGCCTTGTTTTGCATTGGGGCTGTGCTGGACAAAACAGCCAGAGCAGCCCAACACATTTGGTGGGAATGGGCCCCTAATCTCTCATTCTCAGCCAGCACTCTCTCCACCATTCACACTATGGGGTCTATTCACAAAGCTGCCGAGGGCAGCCGAGTGAATGACCGATCAGAAGTGAAGTGAGCCGAACACTGTTCGGCTATTCACTTCAGGCTGGTACGGCTGAATTTGTGGCAGCATTAACTCTCTATCCATGCTTTCTTCCCTGGCAGCCACCCCAATCCTAGTCATACTACATTCTTTGATAACTCTCCCCTGACTTTCTAAACTATTTATCTCCCCTCACTGTATACCGAAACTTAATTTCCCATCCCTGTCCATTAGGTATGTCCCGATGCCACTTTTTCAGGCCCAAGTACAAGTACAAGTACATCCCCTCATGTACTTGCCGATACCAATTACCGATACTTTTTCTTAAAGGGACAGGTGACTTTAAATGATCCATAGTACAACTACATGTTATGTACTATGGATCATGGTTTAACCTATTCATGTTAGCAGGGGATAATTGTAACTCTATTACTGCAGTGTACTGGACGTATGTGCTGTATATGTATTATGGATCATGATTTAACCTATTCATGTTAGCAGGGGATAATTGTAACTCTATTACTGCAGTGTACTGGACGTATGTGCTGTATATGTATTATGGATCATGATTTAACCTATTCATGTTAGCAGGGGATAATTGTAACTCTATTACTGCAGTGTACTGGACGTATGTGCTGTATATGTATTATGGATCATGATTTAACCTATTCATGTTAGCAGGGGATCATTGTAAATCTATTGCTGCAATGTACGGGACATTTGTGCTGTATATGTATGTAATGACCCGTGAGGTTATATCTGGACGCTCAACTGTGGAGTCTCCTAGTCTAATGGCAGGGTTCAGTTTTGATTAATTCCTTCATACTCCATTCAGTGTTTAATGGAGGGTTTGGAATCAGTTACATCATTCCCTGCCACTAGGGGCAACCTATAAGTTTAGTATGTTCAGATGAGTGAGAGTATGTGTGCACAACATGCGTTTCCTAGTTAATCCAGCCCAAGTTTAGGTGAGTCAAGTTCTGCAACCCCTCAAGACACGTACATCCCAACACAGCAGGATAACAGTGCCTTATGAGAACCACAGTACCCAGCTCACACAACGTCACTTGAATAAGGGTGAGATAAGCAGGTGGTTTGTTCTCGAGGTAATGGTTCAATAAAGTCCCAGTGACTAGTTTGGCAGCGCTTCCTAGCAGCGCAGAGAATCACAACCCAAGGTGAGTATAGCAGTCACAATACACTGTTACATAGTTTCAGCAGGCGATAATCAGCAGTGATCCGGTTAATAGTCAGTTGCAGGATTGAGTAGATATACACACAGACAGTGCTAGCTATCTCCTAACAGCTTAACTCCTCAACCCCAGCAATGTATAGGTTAACAGTCTCTTGAAGGAATGTGAAGACTGAGACACAGGCAGTAATAGTAATCCCCTTCCAGCATTAAGTCCTCAAGCTCTGCAGCACATATGGCAATCAACTTCACACCAGCAATTGCTTCTGAACAATGTTAACCTATCATCCAGACACGGTTCAATTGATTTGCTACTTGCGATTTTGGGGATCTCAGATGGGTCCTTAGGTGCAGATGCTGCAATGGTTCACTCCTGGCAATGTTCAGCGTGCACCGTTCACAACGGTCGGATGCTGAACAAACAATCTTGCTCCCTTAAATCCCTCCTCGCCGAACGCGAAGGTGAGGAGCTGGGTCCCGTCCATGACGGAGCTGAAGGGGTGGAGCTGGTTGCCGTCTTGGACGGCTCTGAGGAGGCGGAGCTGGTTGCCGTCCTGGACAGCCCTGAAGGGGAGGAGCTGGCTGCCGAGCTGGCCGTGCGCGGCCCCGCCAGGCAGCGCTGGACCGAGGATGGGTAAGTCTGTTACAATGTACAGGGAATATACAATTCTGCACTGCTAACATGAATGGGTTAAATGATCCGTAGTACAGGGCTACATATCATATGTACTACGGATCATTTAACCCATTCATATTAGCAGAGGATAATGGTAAATCTATTGTTGCAGTGCATTCTATATGTAGTATATAGTACATGTACATATAGAGTGCCTGCAACAATACATTTACAATTATCCTCTGCTAACATGAATGGGTGAAATGATCCATAGCACAGGGCTACATACAGATCATTTAATCCGTTCATGTTAGCAGAGTATCATTGTAAATGTATTGTCTGCACTGTATTAGCAGTGTGTACTCTATATGTACTCTGTATGTAGTACATATAGAGTATATACTGCTAATACAATGCAGACAATACATAATTGCTTAATAGAACCCCCCCCCTCCCCCTCCAAATCTGCCCTCACTGTGCCGGAGAGAGCAGGAACGAGTCAGCGGCAGCGCTGGTCCAGTGGGAGGAGCTCCAGGAGGGGTCCTAATTTAGCTGGCTTAGAGGTGCCGGACAGCTAAATTAGAACCCCACCGGGAGCTCCTCTCGCCGGACCAGCGCTGACTGGCCGATGCAGGGTTTTCTTTTTTCCTTACTTACCTCGCCGAGCGTCGCGTCACTGCTGCTCCGGTGGGACATCCCTACTGTCCATACTATACATTGATCCTGTCTGTACCTGTTCACACATTGCTGCAGTCTGATATCTCTAAGGCTCTTTTCACACCTAGGCGTATAGAATATGCGCGTTTGTCGATTCGCGGTAAAAAAAACGCGCGACAAACGCGCGTTTCCGAGGGCTACTTGGCTGTATCCCAATGGAAACGCGAGACAAAAACGCTGCAAAGAAGCTCATGTACCTTTTCAGGCTTAGGCCATTTTGTAGCGCGTTCAGATGGGCTGAAATACGGCAAGGTGTGAACCATGCCCATAGAAAACAATGGGATTTTCATGTTTGAGCGTTTTGTAGAGCGTTCTTAGAGCGTTGAACGCGCTACAAAACGTACAGGTGTGAACCAGGCTTTAACAGTACCACCTGCTTCATTCAGCATTATACAGTTTCTCTGATCCCCTGTGCTTTGTATGGTAATTGAACTCAGAGACCTGTAGCTGCTTCCTTGTCACTGCATTCGTGTTCCCTTGTCTCTGCCTCTCCCAATATCCCATGGTCAGTTGTTAATCCTTCCTGTTCTCCACTTCCTAACATGGCCAGCTTCCACTCTTCTTCTTTAATGCCCCCCGGTCCACTTCCAGTTGTCACTCTACTTCCTCTATCTATCTTCCTCTGAAGTCCATGTTCAGGTACCATGCTGCCTTTTACTATTTTCCCCCAACTCCATGATTAGCTTACACTTTGTCTTTCCCAGTGATTGGTTTTAGTAACAGCGTATTTGGCCAAAAAATGTGTGTCAAACTAAAATGCATAATAAATGCATCAGTAATGCATACCAGTGTCTAATGAATCATTTAGGAGCCAAAGACCATTCGGCCTAAGTTAACCTGCTCAAGAACGGGTACAAAGCTGATATTGTTAGTACATTTTTAGATTTAAGTGCTGATTGTATGTTATTGTGCAAGTTTGAATTATTTTGGTATATTATTTGTCTTATCTGGGTTGGATAAAGGAATATGATTTGTGCAGAAATCGCATAAACCATATACACTGTTGTGTTATAAACTACATTAATACTGGTGAACGTGTTAAGCATAATACATTGTTAAGACTTGCTCGTGACCAGCTTGTGCCGAGCTTCTTATTTGACTGATCAAAGTACAGTTGCAATTGTCTTTTTTATGATACACTGCTTTCGTGTAGAATTGCTTCATAAAGTTTTGATAAATGTGGCAACCGTAAAAGCAAGTTAAGTTTTGGTGATAACAGAATATAATAACAGAAAGAGAATAACAGA